TTTGCTTGATCTGAAGCCCACCGTCTGCCCCAGCAGGAAGCAGAAAGCAGCTGATGTCGTCCTCCTCTCCCCCGGCTTTGGCTGACCTTTCAGATCCCTGAATCCAGCTCTGCTGTCAAGCCTGGGATGGGGTAGAACTGCCGTTGGCCAGGGGGTCTAACTGTGCCAGGCCTCCCACAGGGTGGAAGATGGACCCCCAAGTCGCTCTAGTCCAGGGGTGCAAAGGTCAAGCCTTCGGGGGGAGGTGCCCTTCATCGGAAGGCTGCGTTAAAAGCCCCCTTTTTAAAAATGACCCACAGAGGCTGTGAAAATGTTAAGAGACGGCCATACACAGCTGCTTCATCGTTGCTGGTCCCTGCCTGTATGTGGAGCCTGATACCAGAACTGAACTTCTTTATTCATAGAATCACAGAGTTGGGAGGGGCCAGACAGGCCATCTAGTCCCATCCCCTGCTCGACATGGGATCAGCCTAAAAGCATCTCCGACGAGTGTTTGTCCAGATGCTGCTTAAGGCCTGCCAGTGAGGGGGAGCTCACCACCTCCCGAAGCAGCTGATTTTTCACTGTTGCACAACTCTTACTATTTTAAGTATTTGGATGGGAGACCACCAAGGAAATCCAGAGTTGGTAGGAAGAGGCAGGCAGTGGCAAACCGCTTCTGTTGGGCTCTTCCCTTGAAAAACCCTTGAGGGGTTGCTGTAAATTGGCTGTGTCTTGACAACCCTTTCCATCACCAACCGTTAATCGGGAGAGGCGTTGAGGGAGGAGTGGCAAAGGCCCATCCATCCATCCATCCACGGTGAGCGAGTCCATCACTCCTTCCCGCAGGAGGCCGAGGTGCCTAAGCAAGTTCCGGCCGTGCACTTCCCTCGGGAGGTTGTGTGCCTCGTCTTCCACTCTAGCCTGTATTCCGCCGCTTGACCAACAACTGACTCTGCCGTCACCACAGTCCTGATTCTCCTCTCCTCGTGTTCCTTCCCCCTACTCCCTAGGACTATTCTACTGAGCGTAATCTCCTTGCTTAACGAACCCAACACCTTTTCTCCAGCGAACGTGGATGCTTCGGTCATGTTCAGGAAATGGAGGGACAGCAAAGGGAAAGACAAGGAATACGCTGAGATCATTCGGTAAGTCCGAAAGAAGCTCGGCCGGTTTTTCCTCCACCCGGGGCTGTGGGTCGGTGGTGGCTGGCAAGACAGACTTCAGCCATGTGCTGGGTGTAAGCTCTATAGGTGGGACAGGGAGGGACGGGCTGATGGTGGTGTTGCATTGCACATAAAAGAGGGCACGGACTCAAGCTAGAAAATATTAGAAGAATCGACTCCCCAACAGAAGCCATGTGGGTAGAAATACTGGGCCCTACGGGTTACTTAAAAGTGGGGGTGTCCTATCACCCATCTGATCAAGCCCTTGAGGCTGATGTTGAGATGGAGAAAGAAATCAGGGAAGTTATGATACTGGGAGACTTCAACTACCCTCTCATTGACTGGGTAAATGTGTGCTTAAGTCATGCTGTAAAAAGTGCAGAAAAGGGCAACTAGAATGATAAAAGGGTTGGAACACTTTCCTTATGAAGAAAGGTTAAAGCGCTTGGGGCTCTTTAGCTTAGAGAAATGATAGCTGAGGGGTGACATGATCGAGGTTTAGAAGATTATAGAGCTGGTAGAGAAAGAAGTCCTTTTCTACCTTTCTCACAATACAAGAACTCGTGGGCACTCCATGAAATTGCTGAGCAGTCAGGTTAGAACAGATAAAAGGAAGTCCTTCTTCACCCATAGAGTGATTAACACGTGGAGTTCACTGCCACAGGAGGTGATGGCAGCTACAAGCATGGACAGCTTTAACAGGGAATTAGATAAGCATATGGAGCAGAGGTCCATCAGTGGCTATTAGCCACAAGGTATAGATAGGAACTCTCAGGCTGAGGCAAGGGATGCTCCGTATTCTTGGTGCTTGGGGGGGGGGAGCAACCGTGGGAGGGCTTCTAGTGGCCTGGCCACCGTGTGGACCTCCTGATGGCCCCTGGTATTTTTGGCCACTGTGTGACACAGCATGTTGGACTGGATGGGCCATTGGCCTGATCCAGCATTGGCTTCTCTTATGTTCTTAAATGCGATTCTTAGACATCATAAATGACTGTGCACTGGAACAGTTGGTCACAGAACCAACCAGAAGGATCGTGATCTTGGACTTGGTTCTGAGCGGGTCTCAAGACCCGGTGAGAGACGTAGAGCTTGTTGCACCAATTGGGAGCGGTGACCACAGTGCGATTAAGTCCAGCGTTCATTTTGATGGAAAGTTACCCCTAAAGTCCAAAACTGTCACATTTAATTTCAAAGGAGGGAACGGTACAAAAAAGAGGGGAATGGTTAAAAGGAAGCAGGAAGGGACGCACAGCAGAGTCAGATCCCTAGAGGATCCTTGGAAGCGATTTAAAACCACACCAACTGAAGCGCAGGTAGAATGTGTCCCCCAGTTAGGAAAGGCACTGCCAAGTCTAAAAGAAGCTGAAGCAACCCGAGCTGCAGTGTTAGGAGAGTCCAGTAACCAATAAATATGCACTGCAAAAACCTTTTAACTAACTACATTCAATAAGCAATAACATTCAGTACATACAGATTGCTAACTACCAGACAATTTTGCATCAGTGTTTTAAAAAGTCAAGCCCCAACGGGAGTTTCTAGAATTATAAACCCGCTTCTCCTTGCATGAGGTCTTCCAAAAAGGGGGAGAGCCTTCTTAATAGTTGTATGGATGCTTTTTGCTGGTCCTACAAAAGACACATTGTGCAGCTAACATGGGGACGGAGTACTCCTGTCATTCTCAAAGCTGAATGTTATTGCTTATTGAATGTAATGAATATTTATACCTGACTAGGATGAAATATGATACACTATGCACGTTACTAAATGATGATCATAAGTAGAACACATTCGTTTGTTAAAAGGTTTTTGCAAAGTCTAAAAAGAAGGCCTGCATGGTTAACAATGCAAGTCGAGGAAGCTATAAAAAGTAGAGAGGCTTCTTTTAAAAAGCGGAAGGTCTGCCCCAACGAATGGAGCAGATCTTGCCGAGCGCGAAGGCGTTGCTAGCTGCCGTGAGACGGGGCAATTCGCATGTCCCCCAGAGGAGCTGCAGAGTCTTGCCTGCCGGCCTGTGGTCTCCCAGCAGCCTGCTGCGTCCATCTCTGTGTGGACGCCTATAGCCCCCCCCCTCCCGGTCAGTAAGAGACCCTCTCTTTTTTCCTCCCCCCGGTAGGAAACAAGTCCAGGCAACCAAGGCAGAGGCCGAAAAGGACGGTGTGAAGGTTCCCACCACGCTGGCGGAGTATTGCATCAAAACTAAAGTGCCTTCCAGTGACAACAGCTCAGATTTGCTTTACGACGACTTGTACGACGACGACATTGACGACGAGGACGAGGAGGAGGAGGAAGACGCCGACTGCTACGATGACGACGATTCCGGCAACGAGGAGTCGTGACCTGTCTCCCTCCGGCCCCTGTACTGCCTCACCGGTTTGGCCAGAGGGGAGCGGCAGTAGCCGAGTGACAGTTCAGCAAAAAAAAATTATATATATATACATGGGGGGTGGGGAAAAATACCAACCAAACCTGCGTCTCCTGCTTTTCTCCTGTTTTATGGATCTCGGTCTTTCTTTCCCCCCTCCCTTTCCCCCTCCCGTCCCCGTGTGGACCTTTTAGCGAGAGAGCCCTCCACCGAATGTCTCGATTCTTGCATCTTCCCCTGTCCCCGTCACTGCGTTCTGATTTTTCTTTTTCTTTTCCCCTGAAAGAAAAAAAGATGCTCTCCCCCCCCCCCCCCCCATTTTCCCTCTCTACAAGCAGCATTCACGACCCAACCAGGTTTGCTCTGTGTTTAGGTTCTTGAATTAAACACAGTCTTGCATCAAGATGTTTAAATGTATTGAACGCCGGAGACTGTTTGGGGGGGGGGGGTCGCTCCCCGTGAGCCGCACGTGAAACGGGCGAGGAACAGAAGCGGACCGGCGGCTGAGCCCGTGCCAAGTTTAAGCTGCTTTGTCAACAGTGCCCGCCTGTGCACTTGTTGAGCCTGGTGGTGGTGGTGGTGGTTCTTTCTTTCTTTTGTGTTGGGAAGAGTGCGAACGCTCGAGTGTGTTGGGCGTGACAAGGCCTGGTGCTGAAAGGTCCAGTATTCAATTTCAGTTCTGCTAAGTGGAAGAACGGGCATTGGGGGGTAATCCTGGGGTCTTTGGTCCCCAAAGAGTGTCCGGGTGTGTGGGAGGGGGTCAGCCATCTCGTGATGAGAATCTTCCGAGGAACACTTGTCCCGTTGTCGTCGTTTTATCTCCCCCCCCCCCCAGCCCTCCAGTTGCTGCTGGGGGGAAGAAGCAGGCCTGCCTCC